AAAAATCATATCATTGTGAATAAGGGGGAGTGCAGAGTGGAGACCCAAAGCCCATCTGTAGGCAATTGGACATCTCCTTATGGAAGGGTCGCGAGGAGGAGATGAGCCAGTCAGGGTGCAGTGTAGCAACACTGAAACATACAACTTTCCTCTGGTTCCTAAATTCTTCTTTCTCCCCCACTTCCCCCACTGTCATGATCCCATTTCTACTTTACAAATCTGGCTAGACCAGAGGCTATACCCTGGTACAGATAGGAACTGGAAACACAGGGAATCCAGGACAGATGATCCCTTCAGGACCTATGGTAAGAGTGAAGATGCTGGGAGGGTGGAGGGAGTGTTGGGTGGAAAAGGGGAGCCAATTACAAGGATCTACATATAACCTCCTCCCTGGGGGACAGACAGCAGAAACATGGGTGAAGGGAGATGTCAGACAGTGTAAGACATGACAAAATAATATTTGTAAGTTATCAAGGGTTCATGAGGGAGGGGAGCAGATGACATGGTGTGATAGTAACTGGATTAATAATTTCCTAAGGACATGGCAGGGGAGGTTGAGGGAAGTAGGGAGCTAAGAACAATCAGTATAAGAAAAATATTCTAAAATTTATTGTGGTGATGATTGCACAAATATTCTCAATAGGAATGAACTATTGAATTGTATGATACATGGATTATATGTCAATAAAACTATTATTTTTACAGTGTTTCATTCATTAGGATAAAAATGATCTTTTTCTAGAAGAAAAGGCTATGAAGGGAAGTAAGAGAATGGGACAAACAGGGCATCTTAAAAGTAAGGTATCTGATCCCAGAAATAGTCTTCAACCTGGGCAAGAGGGGTCTCTACCCAGGGTACCAAGTTTTAGATTAGAGGTTGGTGGGCTTTTCTGTGAAGGGATCGGTTGTGAACAATTTAAGATTTGAGGGCCGTATGATCTGCCATTTCTTAGTTCTGATGTGCAAACGCAGTCTTTGATATTATGTGAACAAATTGGACATGGCTGGTTTCCATTCAAGTTTTATTTTTAAAAACTGGCAGTAGACTGTATACTTCCTCCATCTTTGCCCGGAGGGTCCCACTGTGATTCTCTCCAGCTGCATCCTCTACATGAGATGAGGAGACTGCAGGGCTTGGGCCTCTACCTGTAGCTCACATTCCTCCCCTCTAAACCATGATCCAGAAACCTAGGATACCCTGGGGAGACAGCTCATGTCCACTGTCAGGGCCCACAGAAGCCTGTAGCCTGGTTCAGCTTGAGAGCAGAGCACACTCTGGTGGGTACAGACCCAATCCTTGTGGAGGCTGTAGGGAAAACATAGATGCAAGGACTAAGATATTCACTGTGTAAGAGAGACAAAGATCCCTGTTCTGGGAAACAGAGCTAAAGAAAGAGAAAGCATCTGGTACAGATTCTGAGTCCGGGAATCTAAATTCAAATCTGATCTTTTCAATGGTTATGAAGGTGTATTTGTCAAGGTCAAAATATAAATAATGTTTTTAGTAGCTCTTTTAAATATTTAAGCACAGGACATCCATGTTTCCATTTGTCCCCTAGCCCTGGATTCCACAAACAGAAGGGGCAGAATTGCCTTAGACCAAAAGATTGTCCAAATGAGACCACATTTGCTGGAGCAAAACCATGTTCTTATTGTGCTTTAGTAAAGTCATCGGCAGGAGCACAAAGCCAGGCTCAGTTGGAGGCTGAGATGAAGCCAGACTCAGCCAGGCTGAGATGAAGGCAGGGAAGCTTAGACAGAGTTCCGGGACAATCTGGCAAGGTGAATCCCACGCTCGGCTTCTCGGAGATGGGGTAGGCAGCAAGGTCACTTTACTGATCAGCTCTTGGTGAAGCCTAGAAACAAAATAAAATTTCTTACAGTTACCACGAAGAAAATATCTTTAAAAACATAAAACAACAGGATAGAGAAGGGAGGCAATGAATGTACAAATGCACTTTACACAATTGATGTGTGTATGGATTGTGATAAGAGTTGTATGAGCCCCTAATAAAATGATTTAAAATTAAAAAAAAGGATAGAGAAGGGAGCCAAAAAGTTTTACCAGCAAAACACAAAGTAGGGCAAAGACTATGACAGGACAAAGACAAACCAATAATTACAATACATGTAACCCACCAACTAAATGCTCCAACCAAAAGGGAGAATGGGTAAAAATAAAAATATAATCAATCTGCATACTCTTTACAAGAGAAACACCTTAAACCCAAGGAAACCAATAGGTTAAAAGGGAAAAGATAGAAAAAAAATTCCATGCAAACAAATATTAATAATCTTACTAACAAGTAAAGTAAACTTTAAGGCAAAATCTGTTAAAGGAATGATTTTTTAAAACATAAATATGTATCCACCCAACACTGGAGTACTGAAATATTTAAAACAAACACTGATAGAGTTTAAGGGAGAACTAAATATAGAATAATAGTTGGATAACTTCAATATTAAACAGAACTTCTTTTAAAAAGATCAACAAAAAAACAGAGGACCTGAATGGTGCTATGAACTAACTAAACTTACCAGATGAACATTCCACCTACAACCAGTACAATATGCATACATTCTACTCCAGAGTACATTGATCAATCTCCAGGATAGACCTCACTTTAAGTCACAAAGCAAGTCTTGATAAATTTTAAAAGATTGGAATTCTACAAAATATTTTTTCTGACCACAATGGAATGAAGCTAAATGTCAATAACATTTTTTAACCCTGGAAAATATACAATATATGGAAATTAAACAACCTGCTATTAAACTACCAATGGATCAAGGAAGGAGTCAAAAAATAAATCACATTTTTATGGAATCATATGAAAATTAAACTCCAAAAGGAAGTAAATAACAATGATCACAGCAAAAATAAGTCCCTGGACTATAGTTCGAGGGGATTCAACAAAGGCTTACTCTGTGCAAGGACTCTGCAAATGGATTTTGGGCTTCCACCATCAACCTTCTGCAAACCAGGTGTTCAGAATTTAAACTTTGATACTCTTTCAGATTTTGGTTTTATTTTTTATAATCCTTGGACCAACAGGCTGGTGTACTTCTTCCCTGTCAACTTAGTGGGTGCCTCACTAGATGACTGCGTCAAGACAAGCCTTGAGGACCCAGTCCCTATTCTTTCTAAAAGCTGGGCACCCTCTTGTGTCTTCACCACACTGTTCTATAGCACCTATGTCTTCAGTGATCTCTTCTTGAAGGCAAGTATCGAGCAGGGCCATGTCATAAGAATGAATTGTTCTTAGATTAGGACTATAATTAAGTGCAAATTCAAAATCCATTCATACAAGTATATCTATGGTTTATATATGCCCCTAGTTCCCTTTAGAGACATCATTATCAGTGGCAGCTATAGTTAGGTTAAAATGTAGCATCTTATAATTTGATCTTCCTTTTGATCTATTTTAAAGTTGTTTCAGTTTTTAATATTTTCTACTTTCATTTCGACTAATATTTTTCTTGTTTTGGTTTGTCATTGATATTTTTGTTTGTTCCTTGTTTGTGGTTTATATGGTTTTCTGTATATGAAATCCAAGATAAGTAAATCTATAGAGACAGTAACTGGATTAATAATTACCTAGTGGCATGACTGGGGAGGTCAGGGGAAAATAAATAGCTAACAACACTGAATATGAGAAAGAAGAAAATGTTCTGAAATTGATTGTGATGATGATTGCACAACTCTTCTTAATATGGTTGAGATATGTTGACACAGTGTGATGTGGTGGATGGACACAGTGGCTACATTAGTGGGCTCAGGCACAGGAACCATTGTGAGGATGGGGCAGCACCACTCAGTGTTTCGTTCCATTGTGCACAGGGTCGCTATGGGTTAGAGCCAACTCGATGGCACCTAACAAAACAACAACAAAACTTATATGATAGAAAATTGTATGATATGATATACAGTATATATCAACAAAATTGGAGATTATTTTTTTAAGAATGAGATAACTAAATAAACTAGAAAAAAGTAGAATCATTAAAACCAGAATTTGGGACTTTAAAAAAATCAATAAAATTGAGAAATCTTTAGCTAGACTGCCAAAAAGAAGAAAAGATGCAAATAAATAAAATTAAAGATTAAAGAAGAGTTATTACAAAGTGACCCAACAGAAATAAAGAGAATCAAAACAGAATACTATGCACACTGTATGGCAAGAAATTGGAAAAACTAGATGAAATGGAAAAATTCTTAAAAGCACACAAATTCTGAACAAAATGCTAACAAACAGAATTCAAAAGCACATTAAAAGAGTCATGACCAAATAGGATTTAGTCCAGAAATGCAGGGATGATTCAGCATTAGAAAACCAATTAACATATGGTAATATCAATAGAATAAAAGAAAAGAATAATAAAATCATCTATATGAGCCCATAGAACGCATTTGAAAAAAATTATCACTTATTATTAATGAAAATCCTCAATAAGATTGAGATAGAAGTCCCTTAATATGATTCAAGATGTGTATGAAAAGCCAGCAAGAAACATTACACTTAAGAACTTTCCTCTTGAAATTGGGAACTAGACAAGGGTGCCCCCTATCACCACTTAAATATTGTATTAGAAGTCCTACCCAAAAATAAGACATCATATGTATCCAGATTGGAAAGGAAGTAAATTTATCTCTGTCTCTATCCAAAGAAATCTATGGATCAATAAAGTCCTAACCAAAATTCTAAAAGCTTTCTTTACACAAATAGAAAGCCAATCCTCAACATGATATGCCATGGCAAGAGGCCCAAAATAACTAAAATAAGTTGACAGAGAAGAACAGAGTAGGAGGAGTCACACCTCCTGATTTTCAAACATATTTTACAGCTAAAATAATCAAAACACCTTTGTACATGTAGACCAACAGAAAAGAATTGAGAATCCAAAAATAAACCCACATTTCTATGGTAAATTAATTTCTGACAAGGATGCTAAGTCCATTCAGTGGGGAAAGAAGAGTGTCTTCAATAAACGGTGCTCAAAAATTGGATTTTCATACCAGAAAAATGAAATAAAAGAATTCACATTACACAAAAAAATTAAAAATGGATTATAGATGTAAATGTACAAATAAACACCATAAAATTCTTAGGAAAACAACAGAGACAATACTGCCAGACATACTTTTTAATGCTATAATAACACAAAAAGCAAAGGACAAAATAAATACATGAAAATTAAAAACAGATATTACATAGTTAGCTTATACTAGTCCAATGTCCCTCTCTCAACAGTGTTTTAAAATTTAATATGAGGGGCTAATCAATGACTATATTAACAGAAAATCTTTATGCTCCTGTGAGATGATTGATAAAACTCTCTACCATAAATTAACAAGGAGGTCTCTAAGGGGAGTTAAAGACGATAAAAAACAAATTGAGGAATGGATTTGGGGCTTGACCTAAATCCTAGCTCCAACTTAAGAACAATTCATTCTTACATCATGGCCCTGCTCCTACTCACCCTCAGGAAGGAAACCCAGAGGATATGGGTGCTACAGCAAAATGTGGTGAAGAAATTAGATGGTGCCCGGGTATCAGATAAAATAGTGTCTGGGGTCCCAAAGGCTTTTTTCCAAACAAGCAGTCATCTAAGTCAGATGCCAATTAAATCTACATAGAAGAAACACATCAACATCTGTGACTCAAGATTCTAAATCATATCATCCAAAACTGAAGGAGGGATTAGTATCAGAGCCCAAAGTGTGCGATTCTGGTTGGCAGAGGCTATGCAGAACAGTAGGAGCCCGAGATACTTTTGTGAGAGCAGCAAAGGAAATAAGCCTCCAGTGATTCCCCTCTATCCATAATGGAGGGATGGAAATAAAAGGGTTACCAGAGAGTATTGGAGAGATGACTATAAGCGATCAAAATGATACACCAGCTCATATGGAAGTTGAATAAAACTAAGACACTATGAGACTCCATTACCTTCATAGAGAGCCAAGGCTTTTCTTCACAGCCTGAACAAGAGGGTAGTAGCCCTGGCCACAGCCCTTGCCAGTGAAGTCATCCATGTCGATAGACCAGATCATGGCCCCTCCCAGTTTTGAATTCTTTAGAAATTGAACCTGAAGGAAGCACAAATACATATACACCAAGAGATTAGAGGACATCATCAAAGGCCCATGATCCAAGTCAGCTTGGAATGCAGCAGTAAACTCATAGGTTAGATGGACTTAGACGTTTTCTGAAGGCGTGAGTGAGCTCAGTGTACTCAGAGCTGCTTGTGAGAGTCAAAGCAAGCTACCCACTATCACCACCTCTTGATCTGGCTCATGGCACTGTCACACCCCGTCCTGCATTCGTGGAGATGCTGGAAACTCTCCAGGATCAGAGAGGAAAATGGGAAATCATGAGCAAGACTGGAGTTGTTAACCACACTGATGCATCCCCCCAGTCCCAAGCCTAAAAGGCAAACACATGTTTTAGAGAGATCTAAGAACGGTCCGTTAGGATCAAAGGGCTTGTCTTCAGATCACTGATGAGGTAGATAACTATTCTCTACAGGTACTGTTGTCTCTTCTGTTCTCCTTTCTTCCTTAACTCCACCTTGTTCTCAAGCTGTATTTGTTCTTTCTATCATCCTTTTTACCTATTTTTCTGTGCCTTAGTACCTCACAGGTGTGGTTTATTGGCACTACTAGACTTAGGTTACAGGGTTTACTGAATCCTGTTCTAGAGACTAGAGTCCCAAGTACAGAGTATCAGGGTATTTCGCGGTGCATCCCATTCCCCATCCAACATGCCCAGCGTCTCTTGCCTACATACCTTCGTCTCCACACTCTGCACATCATCATAGCCCACCCACTGATTTCCCTTGACCGCATAGGGAACCTGCTGATCCTTTAGTCTTGTTATGCTGGCTCCTTGCAAGAATTGGCAAATCTGGAGAGGGGACAAACCAGAGGTCAGTAATGGACTCTTCCTGAAACTGATTGAGTATGACAAGTAAGTCAGCCTCTAGGACAGCGGTTCTCAACCTGGGGGTCGGGTCGAATGACCCTTTCACAGGGGTCACCTGATTCATAATGTAGCAAAGTTACAGTGATGAAGTAGCAATGAAAATAATTTTATGGTTGGGGGGTCACCACCACATGAGGAACTGTATGAAAGGGTCGCGGCATGAGGAAGGTTGAGAACCGCTGCTGCAGGAGGTTGGGCAAAATACCAGCATCTTGATTCCAGGGACCAGACCAGGAAGGAAATGCCCACGGACAATGCACAGAATGAAGGGTTCAAGGTGACCCACCAGCAAGTGCTTATGCTCAGACTTCATCAGGACCACTCAGCAGTAGCTTGAGCGACAGATTAGATTCTAGAACTGACCGACCAACCATTGCATTTTCTTCTCGTTTGCAAAATGGGACTAATCATCAGAATGTCTCATGACAGTATTGTTGTTGGTGTCAAATGAATGAATATATGTTTAATTAAAAATTCTGAACTTTAAATATGGTGAAGTGTCTACAAATGTGACCTATTATTATGGCCACAACCACCATCGCCACCTTGTGCATTTTTAAAATCGTTTTATCCTCATGGGGTACATTATCTTCACTGTAGTCCCAATGACCTGTCCCACTCCTAATCTTCCCTCTCCTGGGATGCCGCCTTCCATCATCAGCTACGTTCTCTTTCTATGAGGATAGGTGAAAGCAGCTAAAACAGATACAGCTTGGAGGGGGGCGCGGGGGGCAGAATCATTCCATTATGTAGAAAATTCATTTTGGAATTCTTTTAGATTATCTCTACCTGGGCTTGTCTCAAAGAGGGTGGGAAATAGAAAAGTTGAATAATTGAATAATAAATTAAATCTTATCAAATGACGACCTGAAGTCAATGAAAAAGTTTAACTTTCTGTGAGATGGGGAAGTGGTCCTTAGTAAAGCCCTACCAGCAGCTTCTGAGCAGTGACCTCTCAATCCTTATATTAAAATGAGATCACAATCAACGAAGAACTACTCAAAAGTAGGTCAGCTTCTCACCCCCTCCACCACCCACATTCCTCCAGCTTGCCAGGCACCCTCGGTGTCACTGAGGATGTTTGTGATGACCCACGACCCTTTCTCCCTGCCAATTGAAGTGACGGTGATTATTCCCCCTGCATGGATGAGGAAGTGCAATACCAAGCAGTCTGATGTCTAGATCACTCGGTGGGGGCTAAGTGACTCGCTTGGACCCATGGTATGTCCACACCCATGATAATAAGCCAGCTAGATCTCCAAGAGGAAACCAGGAAAGGTCCTTGGATGTAGGATGATAGCCTTTTCTCTGCCTCATCAAACTCCTACCCATCCTTCAAGGCCCAGCACAAATAACTCCTCCTTCATGAATCTTTTCCCATCTCTGAATTCCTAGCCCTGTGTATCATTCATTGGCCAATCATATCTTATTTATAAAGACCTCTATAATTTTATTGAATACAATTATCTTGTATTTAAATTCTTATTGGACTAGTTATATTCTACATTCTTCCCACCTTGACAATCAGCCCTTTGAAGAACTACTTTTCTCTAACTTTTACCCAAAAAACCCCCAAAACTCACTGCCATTGAGTCATTGCTGACTCACAGTGACCCCCCTGTGGATTTCTGAAACTGTAGAAAGCCCGGTCTTTCTCCTGAGAACCTCTGGTAGTTTTGAATTCCCAACCATGCAGGTGGCAGCCCAACCGTAACCACTGTACCACCAGGGCTCTTTCCTAGTTCTTACAGTACCCAGCATTTCTGGTATGAGAGCGTCCCCAAAGCATCTTCTGGTTGAGTAATGTTGGTTGACTTCCAGCGTTCCATGTGTTGTTTATTTATTTCCTTAGACTCAGGATATAGTTCAATGAACTGAGTAATTTTGACAACCCTCTCTGTAACGTAAAATCTACTTGCCCACCGCGAATAACCTGACCCAAACAGATGAGGGCCCAGAGAACTTCCAGGTACCTCATAATAGGCCAGGAAACCTGTAGTCTTGGTGATTGGGCCAGGGGCACCAGGGCCGGAGGCGGGGGCCCCCACAGTGGTTTCTGCAGAGGCCAGTGTGTAGGTGTGTCCATACGTGGGGATGCCCATGACCACTTTCTCAGCTGGCATGCCCTTGTTTATCCAGTACCCCACAGCATATTCCTAGAAAATTAAGATCAATTTAGACAAAACGTGTGAATTTCCATTCTTAAGCCTCCTCCCAACCCCCCAGAGATGACTCCATCTTTCCTTATGAGTTGTTGAGTGTGGGTAGTTCTTATAGGATTTCATCCACTGCCATCTGGTTGAACCTAACTCCTAGTGACCCTATAGGAAAAAGCAAAACTACTCCATTGGATGTTTAGACTGCAATTCTTAGGGAACAGACTGCCTCTTCTTTCTTTCATGGAGCACCTACTGGGTTTGAACCATCTGCCTTGTAGTTGGCAGCCCAATGCTTACCCCACTATATTACCAGGGCTCTTTCCACTAGGACCAAAGTGCTTTATTCTAATGACTTAAAGCTCAGGCACTGAAAGAATGCATCAGCTTTTTCTAGGTTAGTAAAGAAAACAGAACAGTGGATCACAAAATAAATAGCAAAGTGACCTAGAAATTGTAAAATCAAAGTCATCACGATGTCTTTCATTCCCTTTTGTGTCCGTTGCCAGGGAATAACTACCAGACTCAGCCTGTGCGGGCTCAGAAAGACCTTTGACCCAAGAGGGTCAGGTCAGAAAGGAAAAGCCTACTGTTGACCTTGCTGCTCTAAAGGACAATATAACGATCTGTCTCTTGGCAAGTCCTTGATACCCCCGTGTCGAGGAAGGAGTGTGGGGGGCTGATTGGACTTCCCCACGTGGAATCTTAGAAAGCCCTAGCCTAGAAATCATCAGGTCCACTTCTGGACTAACCAGATCTATCGCTACAATTTTGAAATCTGGGGAAAAAATACAGACTTAAAAATAATCACTTTTTTTCCTCCCTCAAATTTAGGAACACGCAATTATATGCATGTAACAAAACAACAACAACAAAAATTGCTGAGGGTGAAATGTTTTGCTGCAACTTTCCATTTCCAACCATTTTCCCAAACCTTCACATCTGTGAGCAAAGTTTTGGTCTGTCATTGAATCCGCCGGACTTCTGTTTCATCATCTGTGAGTGGGAGCCACATTTCCTGCCCGCCTAACCACACAGACTTGTTCTGAAAATCAAATTAAATGAGGCGATGGACAGGCTCTGGAGGGTACCACCTGTGACTGGAGAGGCAGAATTCAGGAAGGACTTAGATGGGTGGCATGCTGGGCCAAAGACAAAGCTTTGGACATGTCCATTGCCAGGTCTTTTGATATTTGCCAGGCACCATTTTCCTGGCATCTAGTTAAAGCACTTGCCTTGTCCTCAGTCGCCACCAAGGTCACTTGAGACCTTCTTGGACATCTCCTAGGAACATGGCAGAGTTCTCTCCAACTTCTCCCAAACAGCTGGCATCCCACTGTGCGTTCTCTGAGCAACTCACCACATTGTAGTAGGAACTCGTCTTGATGTCTAGCGTCCCCTTTCTCAGAGGGCTGTGGTGGCCAGTGACGAGGGGTTTTTCCCAAGGTCCATGGAAATCAAAGGACAGGAGGTTGATGAAATCTACTTCTCTACAATGCCAAAAGCAAAAGAAGATGTGCTGTGGTGAGCAGAGGTAAAAACAATGATACACAACAGGCTGTGATTACTGGTAGAAGATGGAAATGGGTCATGAAGAAGAATTTCCTGACTGACTGGTGTGGGTTAAGGGCAGTATCCTTCAGGCTCTCCCTCCTCCTCCTCCTCCTCCTCCTCTTCAGACACATAGAAGAACATCATTTGCATGAGCCAGGTGAGAGACGGGGTTCATGGAGGTGACCGTACAGACTTACTTTGCCAGTTTGGCAATCTGATAGCTGTTATCCATCATCTGCCTCCCTGCAGACACTCCTGCAGTCAAGAGAAGCTTCTCTTGTCTGGAATTCACGACCTCTTTCGGAAAGGCTTCTGATAACTCCTGTGAAAAACAAAGGGTCAGGGCCCATAAGGCCCTAGAATACAGAATTCAGAGTCTTGTCTAAGGATTATAAAGCTTCTTGAACCACATAGATGGAAGAGGTTAACCATTCCTCACTCTCCCCGGATGGGGATGCCGTATGTCTGTCTACCTGCCCAGGACCACTTCCTATTGAAGAGGGTAGAGGTAGAAAGCTCAGGAGGAGGGAAACAGGAAGCCGTCCCAGCCTCACTGTGTCCAGGAAAGTGAAGATGCCCAAGAAAAGTTAACTGGGTTTTCTTCCAATGTATCTTCTGAACCAAATCCCTCTTCTATAAGGCTGTCTTGGCAAACAGGAAATTTGTTCTATGACCCCCATCTTCATTATGGTGGATGTTTTTTGTTTGTTTTGTTATGATGTCATTTTGTCATTATATAAGGGGGGCACGCTATTATTTAATGAGGGTCCTGGTGGTCCAGTGGGTTAAGCATTGGACTGCTAACTGCAAGGTCAGCTGTTCAAACCCACCAGCTGGCTCTGTGGGTGAAAGATGAAATTTCCTGTTCTTAGAAATGTTTACAGGCTCAGAAATCCTATGGTGCAGTTGTCCTCTGTCCTACAAGGTCGCTGTGTGTCCAAATAGACTATATGGCAGTGGGTTTCATGGGTTATTAGATCTTGTCTCTGTTCTAAACTAAGACCAGGGGCTTCTCCTCATCAGTGGGTCTTCTGGAAGGCAGAGGGTATGTCTTCCCATAAGACCTCATGTCTTCCCGAGTACCGTGGAGTTTGGCTTACATGAATCAGCTCAGTGTAATGAATGCGGTCTTTCACATTTGGATAGATCCAGCTTACGTCCAGTCCATCAAAGTTATGCTTCCTTAGAAATGCAATTACAGAGTTGATAAATTCCAAACGTGCTGCAGAAGAATCAACCATGGGGTGAAACCTGGATAGAAACAATACAAGGTGTTCTTTGAAAAGAATAGGCAACAGCAGAATGCTTTTCCTGCCTGCCCCCCCTGAAACCCTGAAATCATCTTTCCTTCACCAATATTATCTCAACATCTCTCTACCTACATTTTCTCTTTCTTCATTTAGATACAGATGGGGAGAAAAAACAAGTCTCATACTTAGCAACTGAAATATCATAAGCTTATAGGAGATTGTTGGACTAGATAAATGATTAGGACATAACGTAAATTAAATTGTGCTCCCACCCTCAAAGTTATATTAAAGCCCTGGCCCCTATACCTGTGAGTCTAATCCATTGGAAATACTATATTTTATTTTTATATTAAGGATGATATACCATAATAGAGTGAGTCCTAAAACTAATCACAGAATGGATTATTAGAACAAAGTGTTCTTGTGTTAAGAGAGTACTTGAGTCGAGGTCCAATGTCTATCTGCAACGTTAATTCTTAACATCTAGATATTACATAGTTCTATTCTCCACTCACTATATGTGTGTGTGTATATATATATATATACACACACACACACACACATATGTACATGCCTGTATTTAGGCCTCTGTAAATGTCCTTTGCCTCCTGGTTCTTTCCTCTATTTCCTTTTTACTTTCCTCTTGTCCTACCATCATGTTCGGCCTTCATTTGGGTTTAGTAATTCCTTGCTGCTGCATTGCCCCTGATTAAGCCCCACTAGGCCTCCTGTGCCCTTCTTTCCGTTGATTTTAGTTCACTTGTTTTTCCCTCCTCCCTGGGTTGGTTTCCCCTCCCCCCTTCCTTTCTCCCATTTTCCCTTCTCTGGTATCCCCCTGGAACCACTGGTCCCATTCTTTTCATTTCTGAATTATTTATCCCACCTATCTTATCTAGATAGACATGCAGATACATTAATAAGTACAAAAACCAGACAAAGGCAAATAAAACAACAAAGGAAGTCAAAACCAAGAGCAACAACAGCAAAGAATACACACAAAATAACAATAACAAAAAGAAAGCCACTGACAAAAATGGAAAAGCCTATAAATAGTTCAAGGTCTGTTTCTTGGCCTGTACGAATGTTTTCCAGTCAAGTCTGATGGGGTGCCACACTGTGTCTCCCAAGTCTAATTTTGGTATTCCCTGGGGGTTTCACCACTCTGCTCCCCCTGCTGCTCTGCTGCATTCCCTAAATGCCTCACCCCAGCATGATGGGGCCAGACCATGCACTATTCCCACACTGTGTCTCCAGTGCTGTCCCCCGCAGTGTCATGGTTTAGTGCAGGACACCGTGTCCCATGTTGTTTCCTAATCTTTAAAAAATCCTTAAAAGACATTAATGTTTCTTCAGTTAGTAAGGTAAAAGAAAAGGTTTGCATTGGCATGGTTAAATTCCCAGGACCCGAAATTCTTTAGGGAAGGATAAATGGTTATCATCATTTATAAAAGTGTCTTGCCCTTGATGGAGCTTATGCGAGAAATGGAGTTCATCCTTTTAACTTTTATGTTTAAATTCCATTTTCCCCTAAACTTCTTGAAGACTTCTTCTATTAATGGCTATGTTTCTTTGAAGCAAAGGGGACCCAATTGTCTCCTACACCATATCTCCCCTCTGGCCATCAAGCCACATAGTCATGACCCAAAGCTTCAAGAGCTAAAGACTGCTGCTGACTCTGGCCTGTTTTTAAAGAGAAAATACCTCTATAGTGCAAAGTCAGACCCTCAAGTGAGTTCTTAAAAATTGCATTTCCCAACAAAAATCATCTGCCTATAATTCATAAGGCAACTTGTTGAGAGTGTACTGAATTCTGTTTACCACCCAGCTTTCCCCAGGCTTTTAGTATTTGGGCATGTGCTTAACTCCTGCAGAGTCCCCTGCAGACACCAGAAAGCCAAGTAATTGCCTGAGCTTAGTGATAAAACTCAGATCAATTTTGTCATCTCAGCCAAGGGAAAAATCAATCCATGCCTAGTTCGGTGACTCTATACCAATGGTGTAAAGGTAGCGATATAAGACTTTTTCAGGAAAATGAGCGAACAATAGAGATTGCAGTCATACCTTTTGGAATCGAATGTAGCACCCCCAATGGATAAGAGAATTTTCAGTTTGGGATTCCTGCATTGGAAGAATGAACCGATTATTTTTATTTATTCACTTATTACTAACTTCCAGGGAAATCTTGGGTTCCTGGTGTGAAAACAATATGGAGTCTGGCTTCTTATCAGTTAAGTTTAGTGAAAGGATGGAGCCTGGAGAAGAAGATGAGACCAGGTAGAATGGGGATTATATCCAGGGAAATACACTTAAATGAATGGATAAATGATGTCGTTAGTAGATTGGTCTTATGCCCCAGTATAAGACTTAGTCAACTCCTCCCAAATCCACCAGAGAGGTTCCCATCCATTTTCTACTAACTGAGTTTTAATTCTGTTGATCGTCTGGTAAAGCACTGCTTCATTCTTGTCCTTGATAGTGATCTTGTTGTTACTGATGTCCGCGAACGAGTAGATGAGGTGAGAGCACAGGAAGGGATCAATGTTCTCTGGGGTGAACTTTCCTGGTCCCTGCCGGTACTGGGACCAGTTGGTAAAGTAGCAAACCAGTTTGTAGGCAGAACCTGGAGTAGAGTGAAAACAATCAAAGGTAGTCTGGTGCTGTTCCTTTAGACCCAGAGAACCACACGCTTCTCTGTAAGACAGTCATTGTCACCTTTGCTGGTTTAGCCATAACAATTGAGCACCGTTTGACCTGAGTTCTGAGTGAAGACCCTTGAGCAGTCAGACTCCAGTACAATATGCACTGAGAGATAGTAATAGTATCAAGATTAAACACCATAGAGCACTAAGATTCCATGTGTATGTATGACTGGCTCAGAGGACATAGATGACATGTATCCACATACATACAACATTAAGAAAAGGATTTATAGGGGGAGAGAGAAATAGATTAGCAAAATCATAATTAGAATCATGCATGCACTAGTGATAGTAAACAAAATCTTAGTAACGTAAATATAGTAGTGTCATAGAGTGATCTGTTTTCTCATTAGAGAAAAACAGAATGAAGCAGAGATAGAAACCAAACATCATAAACAGGAAGACCCAGTTCCAGAGGCAGTGGTGACTCACAGACTCCTTACCTCCCTGAAGAAGCAGCATCAAGACCACTATACCTGTGGGAGATGAAGATAGAGGGAAATATGTTGAGTAATATCTGGGTCTTCTGCCCTAGACGATGGCAATGAGTAAGCGGGTGTGCCTACATACAAGGTGCAGCCTCGCTTCCTCTGGGGTCTCCAGCCACAGCTTCTGTGGTCTCTTTACAGGCCCCCAGTCCTTAGGTGCTTTAGAGGATCTCAGTCCTAAATAGATACATTTTCCAAACTGGTATCTCATTCACTCACTCATTTATTTATCCAACAAGTATTTATTAAATCACATGCTCTGTGTATTGTCCTAAGCATCAAGGAAGCTAAAGTGCAGCTCAATACCAACCTGTGCTCAAAATGCAAACAGTTCGGTGGGGAGTTGGATATGTATATAGTTAGGAGGACCATATAGGTTACTGCCCATTGGGACACTGTGGAGAGTGAAAATGGAGCATCATTAATAATTACGCTGGGGAAATAGCTTAAGTCAAGAAGGTCTTAGGTCAATTGGGATGAATGGTCATCTTTGTATCGGTAGCTAACTCAAAATGGGGCTAGATGGATTGAGATGTGTGGGTCAGTCCTGGTAGAGTTTGAGGTCATGCTCAGCCTCTTTCCCACTGAAGGCCTCCTGTAGAAGGATTGCTGAGAACCTTCTAACCCTAATCCAACCTCCTAAAGAGAAAGAAAGGGAGGACTTTTGATCTGTGCCCCACACCCCTGACTGAGGACATTGTCCAGACGTATTTGCATTAAGATATTTCCCCAACATCAAACATATTGCCATTGTAAATTCTGACTCAAAGCAGAACTGCCTCTGTGGGTTTCCAAGGGTGTAGCTCTTTAAGAGAGCAGAAAGCCTCATCCTGTCCCCATGGAGCAGCTGGTGGTTTCAGACTCCAGACCTTGGGGTTAACAGCCCAATGCCTAGCCCACTATGCCACCTGAGCTCCTTTAGGGTCTGGAAACGGAGAAAAGGCAAATTTAAAAAGGCAAATTAAAAGAACACTGGACTAGGAAACAGAGGTCTAAGGTTCTCTCTGGCTGTGCACATCTGTTTTAGGCAAAGGCAGGGATCTCTGGGTACCACCGATGGTTAAGTGCTCAGCTACTAATTGAAAGATCAGTGTTTCAAATCCACCCAGAGAAACATTGGAAGAAAGGCCTGGCAATCTACTTCCGAAAGGTCATTCACTAACAACTTTGTGGAATATGGTTCTACTGCAATACACACGAGATCGCCAGGAGTCAGACTCAGCGAAAGAAGAACTAGTGTGTTTTGTTTTGTTTTGCGCCAAGGTAATAGGAAGCTAATAGTCCTCTATGCATCCCTTAAGTGATCAGGGGAAATTCTGATTAAATCAGCTTCCAGGACCCTTCCCCAAAGTGCTGCCTCCTCACACAGCTAAACACTTTAACAGGGACACAAAAGGCTCTTGCCACTACCAAGTGGAGTGCTCATGGCACGAAGGGATAAGACAAAGTGAAAGAGCAAAGATCACAATGAAATGGCTTCTTTTTCTCTGTTTACCACATCCTTTTCCTTCTTAGTTCACGATTCTGGTTCGTCCAGAACCAATCCCATTGCATAGAGTCAATTCTGATTCATGGTGACCCTATAGGACAGCAGAGAAGTACCCGATAGGGTTTCCAAAGCTGTACTACTTACTGAAGCCGACTGGCACGTTATTCTGGGCTTAAACCACCAACCGTATGGTTCGCTGCCAATCTCTTTAACCACTACGCCTCCAGGGATCCTAGCTCTGTTATTACAGCATCATCCCTCCCCTGACACAAATTCTCAGCCACTCTGAAAGCCACACCTTTTATCACAACTGTAGAGTTGAAAGGGATGGTTTAGAAAATGTTTTATGAAGTAGGCCCTTTGTTGATGAGAAATGTGGGCCTCCCCAAAAGTTCTTAGGTGTCCCTAAAGGACAACACAGGTAGATGTGACTCCCAAGACAATGCTCAGACACGAAGAGAGCTTGGCCTCTAATGTTGAGAGCCAGTCCTTTCTGGTCAAGACTATCGTCTGTAAAAAATGAACTCGTCCCAGATGGCCCGAGAGATTCTGCTCACTGCTGCTCTCTCATCCACGTAGAAACAATCCTACGGTTTACCAAAGACAGTTGCACAAAGTCGATAGCTTTTGATGAAGTAAACAGAGACTGGATTCTCGAAAAAGGAATAAGAGCATTCCAGAGGGCTTTCTAACTCCCTCCCTCCTCAAACCCCCCTGTTGAATTATCAGCTCCATGCTCACCTGCCCAGAGAGACTTCTGGTCCATGATGCTTGCTCCTATAACTCTGTCCTTCTCCTTCTTGAGTACACCTATTCTGGGCCTTTTATGCTCTGAAGTTGCCACAGACTGTCCTACGGGAATGAAGCAAGAAGAAACTGACAAGATTCCAGGGGTTTCCCCGTGCATCCCTTCTTGAGCAACTTCCTGGCAAGGAAGCCCAAGCTTGAGCAATGCCAGGGTTTCCCTGTCAGAGATGCTAATGGGACAGCCATCAGAGGGCCCTTTCCCCCACCATGAGGAGACCCAGTCCAGGAGAAGGGAAGAAGGAGATCGTTGTGATTTCGCCTCCTTGTCCCATCATCAAACACCTGTGTCTTTCCTCTCACCTCCCTCGGCATCATCCCTAACCAGTTTATTCTCGGTTTTTAGAAGATCCTATCACCCCAGATGATCTACTCCAGCAGCTGTCCTTCATCTAACACCTCTTTGTGTCACCTTCCCTGGACAGCTGGCTGGTTTCTCCAGTACGCCGGCATAGTGGTTCTCTACGCTCAGAGACGTCTTTCCTGGCTCCATTGCAACACCTACCACATCGGATTACAATAGATTAGTGTGTGCCTGTACATCTATCTCCCCAACGCAGTTACGCGATTAAGTACAAGAACAAGGTAAAATGAGAGGAAAGGGGGGAGAGCTCCTCAAGAAATGTCTATTAAGGACTCTCCTTAACTTGTTAGCATTGGATTGTACTCCAGATTCAAAGATCAAATGCTGAAGGCCCTGCACGATCTGGTCTTGCCCTTCGCTCTCCAATCCCTTTATCTAATGAGATGCCCAGGTGTGCACGGGAGTGTGCATGTGTTTCCTTTTCGATATGCTAGGCCTGCTAATGAACCTTCTCTCAAGCCTTTAGCACATTGTTTCCTGTATTCCAGGTGTATGTCACTTGAGAGAGATCATTGACGTGGGTCTCTTTGCAATTCTGCCCAAGGAAGAAAAGGAGGGGCTCACAGGGAGCCATGGCTGGGGACAATGCCTCGCGGCTCATTCCTTTCAGTGTGCATGTGGGTGGGGGTGATTCTGAGAAGACACATATGGGAGAAACCCCGTTTTAAACATCTGCCAAGCCAAGCAAGCAGGAAGACATCATGCTTGCTTTATGATAATCCCTTTACCCCTCTTCTCTACTCACTTAGATTAAAGTGGTATGAAATCATAATAGCAAGATGGGAAAGCCTAGGCCAAGGAAAGGAAGAAGACAGACTGCAAATAGCAGCCAGTCGTCGACGTGGCTGGAGAAGGAGGCCCAACTTAAGACCCGATCAAGCATGGGAAGCCTTGGTTTGTGTCTGGGGCTGGTTGGGTCACTGGGGTTGTTACCTGCGACTGGTTTCTGTGACTGCAGAACTTTTGTCACCTACAAGCCAGTGGAAAATTCAAGGACAAGATAGACCCCTCCTCATTGAAAGGTAGAATTAAAGGGACAATAAAAGAGAAAAATAAAGCTGCGTTCTCGATTATGACTCATCACTATCGAGTTGATCCCAACTCACAGGACCCTACAGAACTACCCCTACAGGTTTCTCTATGAACCTATAGGAGTAAAGAGACTGTTAATTCTTTACAAGAATTTAAAACTTCATCTTTGTCCTGTGGAGCAGCTGGTGATTTCGAACTGCTGACCTTGCAGTTAGCAGCCCAACACATACTTGTTATTCTTACTTAGCCTTTAAGAAATCCATTTTCTGTATAAATAAAAATTTCATTTTGCAGATAAATAAATACAGTCATTTTCTATACTTTCCCCCCTTTTAATATACCCTAGATATTCTTTCAAAATGACACTGACCTATTCCATTCTCTCTATAAGCTTCAATGTATTCCAGAGTGAGGCGATATCACTTAATTTTCTCCTACTGGCAATCATTTGGCTTAATTTTATAGATGTTTTGAGTCCATATTATTTAAAGCAATGCTAAAATGAGTGTCATCAGAAGTATCTAATCTTTGTATAAGTTTCTCTATAGGACACATCTCAAACAGTAGAATTAATAATAAAGGGCCTTGTCTTCCTATATTTTGATAGAACAAATAAGGGCATGTAGCTTTTTCAAAAGTCACAAGAGGAAAGAATCACCATTAGCATCAGCAGCCCAAAGCTGGTCCTATGCAGCAGAGATAAGCCATCCCTTCTCTTTCCAGTCTTTTCCCCAGCTCCTGCCCACACCAGCTCTCGGTCCCAGGCACTCTACCCCTCGGCTGGGTTCACGGATTCATTGCGATGGCCACACATAACTCACAAGCCATATTAACATGTATGGGCCTTATTAGGGATGAAGTTGTTGTTAACCACCGAGTTGGTGCTGACCCATGCTATCCCCAGGCACATAAGAACAAAACACTGCACTGGCCTGTGCCATCTGCACATTGTCCCTAGGCCTGAGTCCCTTGATGCAGCCACTGTGCCAACCGTCTTGTTGGGGCCCTTCCTCTTTCTCACTATCTTTCCGCTTTACCAGACATGATGGCCTTCCCCAGGGACTGCTCTCTCCTGACAGCATGTTCAAAATATATAAGTCAAAGTCCAGCCATCCTTTCCTCTAGGGACTACTCTGCCCTTACTTCTTCACGACAGATCAGTTGGTCCTTCTAGCAGTCCATGGTATTGTCAAAATTCTTCTCCAGCACCACGTTCAAATGCCTGGATTCTTCTACCATCTTCCTTATTCAATGTCCGACTTTCACGTGCATTTGATGCCACCGAGAATACCATGACTTGGGTCAGATACATTTAGTCTTCAAAGTAACATCCTTGCTTTTCCAAATCTTTAAGGAGGTTTTATGCAGCAGATTTACCCACTGCAAGGTGTCTTTTAATCTCTTGACTGCTGCTTCCATGATCATTGATTGTGCATCCAAGTAAGACAAAACCCTTTACAATGTCAACCTTTTCGCCATGTATCATGATCTTACCTATTGGTCCAGTTGTGAGGGCTTTGGTCTTCCCTATACTGAGTAGTAATCCACACGGAAGGCCACAATCCTTGCTCTTCATCAGCAAGTGCTTCAGTTACTCCGCACTTTCAGCAAGCAAGATTGTGTCATCTGCATATGACAGGTTGTTAATAAGATGTTCTCCTGCTCCACATGTCACACTCTTCTACATATAATCCAGCTTCTCTCATCATTTTCTCAGCATATAGGTCAGATGTAGTATGATGACAGCATACAACATTGACACACACCTTCCCTGATTTTAAGCCATGTAGCATTCCCTTGTTCTGTTTGCCCAACTGCCTCTCAATCCATGTGCAAGCTCCTCATGAGCACCATGAAGTGTTCTGGCATTCCCATCTCCTCAAGGTTATTCATAGTTTATTATGGTGCACACAAGCAAGTGCCTTTGCAAAAACACAAGTAAACATCTTTCTGGTATTCTCTGCTTTGGGTCAAGATCCGCCTGACATCACCAATGATATCCCTTGTTCCACATCCTCATTTGAATCCAGCCTGAACTTCTGGCAGCTCCCTGTCAATGTACTGCTGCAACCATTGTTGGATGATCTTAAGCAAAATTTTACTGTGTGTAATATCAGTGATACCATTCTATAGGTTGAGCATTCCATTGGGTCACCTTTCTTTAGAATGGGCAAAAATATGGTTCTCTTCCAGTCAGTTGGTCAAGTAGCTGCCTTCCAAATTCCCTGCTATAGAAGAATGAGTGCTTTCAGTAGTGTTCAGCTTTTTGAACCATTCCAATGGGTAGCCCATCAATTCTTGGAGCCTTATTTTTGGCTAATGCAGTCAGCACAGTTTGAACTTCTTCGTTCAGGACCACTGGTTCTTGCTCATATGCAATCTCTTGAAATGGTGGAATGTCAATTAGTTCTCTTTGGTACAGTGTATCTGTGTATTCTTTCCATCTTCTCTTGATGCTTGCTGCATCTTTCAAAATTGCAATTTGAGGCTTGAATTTTTTTCTTTCAGTTTCAGATATGCTGAGAGTGTTTTTCACTTTGGGTTTTCTAATTCTAGGTCCTTGAACATTTCATTATAATATTTGGCTTTGTCTTCTCCAGCTGCCCTTTGAAATTTTCTATTCAGTTCCTTGACTTCCTCCTTCCTTCCATTTGCTTTAGCTACTCTATAATTCATAGCAATTTTCAGAGTCTCTTCTGACATCCACTTTGATCCTCTCTTGCTTTCCTATCTTTCTATGACCTTTATTTTCTTCATGAGTGATGGTCTTGACATCCTCCCATAGCTCATCAGGTCTTCTGTCATTAGTGTTCAATGCATCAACTCTGCTCTAGACATGTTCTCAAAATTCAGGTGGGATAGACTCAAGGTCATATTTTGACTTTGTGGATTTGTTTTCATTTTCTTCTGCTTTACCCTGAACTTGCATATGAGCAATTGATGGTCTGTTCCACAGTTGCCCCCTTGTCTGGTTTCCGCTGCGGACATTGAGTTTCTCCAGGGTGTCTTCCCACAGATGTCGTCAATTTGACTTCTGTGTGTTTCATCTGGGGAAGTCCATGTGGACAGTCACCTTTTGTGTTGTTGAAGAAAGGTATTTGCTAGGAACAAGTAGTTGGGTTGGCAAAATTCTATCATGTGATCTCCAGCTTACTTTCCATAACCAAATCCATATTTTCCAAATACTGTTCCTTCCTCTTTGTTTCCAACTTTTGCATTACAATCTTAAGTAACTATCAATGCATCCCAATTGCATGTTTGATCAATTTCTGACTGAAGTCTTTGGTAGAATTCTTCGATTTTTTTCATCGCTCCCTTTTGTGGGTGGTGCATAAAGTTGAATAATAGTTGTAGCGATGGGATTTCCTTGAAGGTGGATAGATATAATCCTATCGCAGATAGCATTGTATTTCATGATGGATTAAGCAAGATCTTTCCTGACAATGAATGTCAAACCATTCCTTATGATTGCGTTACTCCTAGCATAATAAATCATATGATTTTCTGATTCAAAAATGGCCGATACCAGTTCATGTCAACTCACCTATGCCTAGGGCGTCAATCGTTATGTGTTC